TTTAGATCTAACACAACCCGTGTCTCCTACCTTTCCTGTGTCCCAGAATTGCAGCCTCCTTTAGTCCGCATTCAATACCTTCAGGAGTGTCAGATGAATGTGTCTTCCGCTATGTGTCTTGACGCTACTAGTCAGTCCTCTGTAGGCCATATCCTGTAGTGATAAAAGGGGTGGAGAATGGAACCACATCATGTAGCAGGGGCCACACACATCCAGAAGACTCGAAAGTGTCAAATTTTTAAGAGACTGACCGCAGCCCTGGAACAGAGGGAAAGTGAAGGTCGGAGTCACAGGCCACCAGAGAGGCAAGTATACCACCTTTTCTACTGCAGAGACCTGCCAGCTAGAATTTTTTAGGTGACACTTTCAAAGGGTTCCTCCAAAATGTCCCGGCTGAGTGCAATGAAATAGGACAGATAGCTTAACAACAGAGTTTTGAACCAGCCAAGAGATGGATTAGATGGGGTTATATTTATTATTTGAATATCTCTTAACATCTTCAGTACACCCACATCACATTCCTCCCGGCCACGTCACCCCGAGTCCACAGCACATCCCTCTTGGCCACGTCACCCCGAGTCCACAGCACACCCCTCCCGGCCACGTCACCCCGAGTCCACAGCACATCCCTCCCGGCCACATCACCCCGAGTCCACAGCACATCCCTCCCGGCCACATCACCCCGAGTCCACAGCACATCCCGCTCTAGCCTCCTCATTCACAGCACCTAGAGCACCGCACGGCTAATCACTCCATTCTCTCCAGCAAACAACTCCCTTGCTCACAATTAACCCCTGCCTGCAGTCACATCCCTTCCCGGCACACTGCCTCCATCATACCAGTAACAACCTCCTCCTGCTCCCAACAAGCTGCATTCACCCCTGCTCATGGGGCATCCCTTGCAACAACCTGAAAGCTGCCAGATGCACTTGAATATCCTGCATTTGCAGATATTTTCTTTTTGCTTCCAATTTACCACGGGTCATCCATAAACTTTCATATTCGGAAACGGGCACACCTTGGCGAATTCAGATAATAGAAATAAAAAGATGGCGCACATAAAAAATTAGATGATGTATAGAAATACAGAAGATGTAACAGATATACATAAAAAGACAGTCTAGAAAAAACAGTTAACAGTTCAAACATCTTTCACACGACAACTTCATAACTCTGACACTTTTTTTTTTATTTATTTCACTTTTTTTCTTTTATTTTTTAATGAAATAATAAAAATGAAGGCACCCTTCCCCGTATCTTCCCTGTTTGGAAGGTGGAGGGGTACTTATTGCCTGCTCCCCAGCTGTAAAATAATATCATATATATTTTTCTTATCTGTATTTATAAACTTGTGCAGATCACGTTTCTTCTCCGATAATGGAAAATTAAAAAACAAAAAAAATATATAAAACATTAAAAAAAAAAAAGTTGCAACCCAACTTCCACGCATAACAAAAAAAATAATTATTTAGAACTGAAAACCAATCACCAGCTGTAAATAAAAGGGTAGGTTATATTCCCTGGAACCTCTGTAGAGATCATCATTGGCTGTCTGGTGGCAACAGAATAGCCAGAAAATGGCGTTAGGAGCAACAGTGAAAAAAAGATGGATGGCGCTCAGTATAAACACAATTTGGATGTTTTCAAGAGTCCTTTCTCATAAAAC